GCGCCGGAGTTGGGGATCAACATGCACTTTTTCTCCTTCAATCCTCACAGACGACCTTGTAGGAAGGGTCACACACTGTTCCTTCCGTTTGAATGAATGCTCGGCGACTGACTTTCCGATCATTGAAGCCAATATATTTCCCCCTATTATTCGAGCTTGATCAACATTTACGGACGCCTCTGCATGAACTCCGGTCATTGTTATTAGCGAGTGCGTTTAGGACAAGGACTGTGTCGTGCATGCCACGTTTCTGTCTAGAGCTCGTCAGATCAATTCGTTTCTCCACAAGCAGGCATTGACAATAGCCAGGTTAGACGCTGGCTCTCAGTCATGCCGCTGCCGCTCGTAAGACCACCGGTTGTCTTTAGACTTCGCATAATTACCTGCTCGATCACAAGATCGGTAGACAGACCTGCCCACATCCACGCACTTCTCCTCACAACATGATATCCGGAGGCTAACTGATGGTAAACTCCAGGACAGTCATTTTTTAGGTTCTTCATTGACTGGATGTACAAGTGAACTGACTTTATGGCCAGAGGCCGCAAAATAGGGCAGCATTCTTCCTAATACTTGCAGATGCAACTCCCATTTCCCGAGACGTTCAGCTTTGATAAAGTCCCTAAGTAGGTCTATCATTTCCATATTTTGTAGCCATAGTGCGGGCGTGCGGCTGGCAGCTTTTATGGAGGTTTGTTGGCGTGATACAGAATCTCGGATGGTGTTGAGGACCTTTGAACGCTGACTTCCTCTGCAACTTTCTTGCTTTCCATAAGATTTTCGTAAAGACATTTGGCTTCAAGAACAATCTCTCTACCATCGTTATCTTCTGCATTCATGACATGTTAGTTCTTTCATTAGCTGTGGACGAAATATAAAAATGAACAACAATAAACACCCATTACTGCAGTATGTTAATGTAATATCTGGTGAAAGCGCTCTTTTGTACTTTATTATTATCATTATTATTATTGTTGTTGTAGTTATCATTATTATTGTTGTTGCTGTTGTTGTTGTTATTATTATTATTATCTATTTATTTAAAGTAGGCGTTTAAAAATAGCTACAGGTAAGATAAATCCGATATGCGAAGCTGAGCCTCGCCCGGGCTATGAGGGGAGCCCGGCCTGTGTCGACTAATGTGGAGTCGCTAACAGTGTGTCAGCTGGTGCTGACTCGGCTTATGTCCTTACCCGCCGTGGCGCCCAGCCACATCAGTAACCTCCAGACGACAATTGCAACTTCTCGCGCCTGGGCGAGGCGCGAACCGCCGACCCCTCGGATGAAAGGCCGACACGTTACCACTGTACTAGCCCGGAGGCTATAGCTACAGAATAAAAGCTAATGAACTGAACCACAGCTGCATGCATGGAATGCATTTCACACACGTCAGATTTGATGGGTCGGGAAAAATTAGCGGGAAAAAATAATGAATTTATTGCTTTTAGAACAAATTCATAATTTTTCAAGCTATTGGGGTGATTCCGGTTTGGGAAAATTCGATCTTGGTCAGCCTCGTTTCCATACCGTCAAAAATATGGCATTCACCAACTTGATCCCATTTTTTGGGGGTGTTCCCGTGCCGGGAATTATGGGGACTTTTGATATGTTGTTAACTGATAAATGTGGAGTCTAAAACCATTCAGATTTCTTTTGTGCGAATTTGTTCCGGGTCAGCCACTTTATGTAAAATTACCGGACTATATATATATATATATATATATATATATATATATATATATATATATATATATATATATATATATATATGTATGTATATATATATACATATATATATATATATATATATATATATATATATATATATATATGTATGTATATATATATACATATATATATATATATATATATATATATATATATATATATATATATGTGTGTGTGTGTGTGTGTGTGTGTGTGTGTGTGTGTGTGTGTGTCTGTCTGTATATTTACATATGTCTAAAACCATTCAGATTTCTTTTGTGCGAATTTGTTCCGGGTCTGCCACTTTATTTATGTAAAATTACCGGACTATATATATATATATATATATATATATATATATATATATATATATATATATATATATATATATATATGAATATAAATATATATATATATATATATATATATATATATATATATATATATATATATATATATATATATATATATATATATATATGTATATATATATATATATATATATATATATATATATATATATATATATATATATATATATATATATATATATATATATATATATATATATATATATATATATATATATATATATATATATATATATATATATGTATATATATATATATATATATGCGTGTGTGTATGTATATATATATATATATATATATATATATATATATATATATATATATATATATATAACCGTATTCATGTTGACAAATGTAGAGAAGGTATGAATGGGAATGAATATCTAGAGATGTATTTGAGCGATTTCTGACGAAGATAAAATCGAAACTGGTCAAATACATCTCTTGTATTGTGAAGATATTAATTTTCATTCATACCTTTTCTACACACACAAACACACACACACACCAGATATAACTCAGGGTTGCGTAAATCGCCTAATAGATACATGCTCCGACGTTACGAAGGTAGGTAAAAGTAGGTTATTCGTTCGATCAGCAACTTTTATTCGAGTCGGTGTGACCCATAATTGCATCAGTTCATTGATATAGGACTAAGGCAAAGTGTATAGGCTGCAGGTCATCCGCCTCCTTGGTGGTCAGCAGTGCGGGATGGTAATGGTTGCTTGTGCAGTAGCAATGTCTCTAGGTTAATCAGAATTTGTACCTTCGTGAATGTTGTTTTCAATTTTGTAAGATTTTTTATTTATTTATTTTATTGACAGTGGTATTGGTGTATTACTGTTTATTGTAGAGACAAAGCTCTGTCATGAGTCTCTTCTAGCTTGTCTTCTACAAGCCCTAGCTCTTGCTAGTTTGTAATTGCAAAAGTTCTCGTTACTGATGTTATTTTTTAAAAGCCTATAGGCCCTGTTTCATTCACACAGCGCCCTGCGGTAATCTGATGTCCACTATGTGAGAAGATAAACGCTTGTCGAGTTCTGTCAGCAGAGGAAGATGGTTGTAGCTAACACCAGTTTTGAGCATGAAAACAGCCAACTGGACTATATCCTGGTTTGACAAAGGTATAGAAACAGTATAAAGAATGCTGGAGCAGATGCTGATTCTGAGCATAACTAAATAGTTATGAAGAACGTTGGAAAGTGATGGAAAATATTAAAATGGGAATTGGAAAATTTGCGCATATGGAGTTTAAATTGTTAATATATTAGAAAAACTCAGTGATATGAGCGAATGGCAGTCAACTTGATTTTCGTCGTCTGCGTCCCTGCGTCGAATCACGGAAGCATGGCATAAAGTGTGCCAGTGTGACAACCCCTTTAGAATTGTAGTTTAGAGAAAGTTTAATTTTTGGTTTTCAGCACCTTTCTAAAGATGTACTTTGACAAACATAATCTTAACTATACTACGGTAATATAATTACTCACTTGCTCTTCTACAAATATGATAGATTATTAAAGAAATTATGAAACCAGCAATAAAACATAAAATTTCCATAGTTACACGTCTTATTGAAATGGCATTCATGCCATATCTATGTATTGAGTTCGTAATAAGATTAGTGAGGGTAACTTTATGTCGAAAGACAGTGTAGATAGAACGTTTAGTTAATTGCGGTTCATTTACCATCATATGTATACAGTATACGATGTACATTTGATTAGTTTTATTACTTCTAAGTATAACAATATGCAGCACACAAGCATGATAGGTATTTGTCACTGAAATTTTGAATGCTACCATTATTATGATTACATAACTTTCGAATATAAACCTATTTGTTGGTGTATAATTTAAAACAAATAGCCTACTGTTATTGCCAATATTATTTCCAGTCTATGTTATTTCATCATTAATTATTTAATATACAGGTATGTCTATATTCTCACTATAGTTGTTTTGTGTCCGTACATTTGATATTATTTTTTTCATATCGTGTTATTAGGCTTGTTATTCATATCTCTGCCATTTCAGTTTTTTTATTGTAATTAGAATGTTGTTGATAGAAAGGCGACAAGTTCGTAGCTGTGAAAAGATCTTCATGGGAAAAAGTACTTGATAACGTTTATTTAGCCAATATACACAATGACAGTTTGATATACAAAAAATAAAAATAGAATAGTGAGCCTCCTGAGAGACGTTGAGCGTGATTCAGTCGCTCGGAACACTTCTTACTCAAGCGTGATTTCTTATTTCTACTTAATGATGTTTCGCAGCATTTTTCTTACGAAGTTCGAGTAGCATGGCTGAGTGTAACCGAGGTATACAAGAACAGCTGTCAAGAGCCCAGTACTCGAAGTTATGCTCAATTAGGGGCCTTAACATCTGTGTAAGCGAGCCGGCCCGCACTATCAGGTGTGGGGAATGTCCCTGCCTCCGTTGGAAGAGATTAGATTGTAAGCGGTTAGGAGTGACTTTCTTCGCAGCGCTGGCACTTAAAGCCTTTGGCCTTCATGGTGCCCGACATGGCATACGGCACAAGAAAAATCTAATGATGTAATTGATCTCACTGACCTGAAAAATCAGCTGAAAAACCACCATCCGGAAACCCTAGCAATTCTCACTTAGGGAACTGTAGTGTTTATTCGAAATCTATTTGTTAATTATGTACACAAACATATAGAGGGGGCATACTCGCGCAATTACATATACGTGTGTGTGTCTGTGTATGAGAAAGAAGAGATGGGAGAGAGGAAGAGAGAAAAAGGTTATATAAATGGGCTACATCACTAACTACGTATCTGTATTTACACACACACACACACACACACACACACACACACACACACACACACACACACACACACACACACACACACACACATACACACACACACACACACACACTCACACATGCTCGCACGCAAGCACGCACACACACATACACACACACGTGTGTGTGTGTGCCTCTTGGTGGGGCCGAAACTGAGCACAGACAGGGAATTTCCCTACATCCGGGGTTCGTAACACCTGTCAGGGTGGAGTCAGTGCCCGCATGGCGATGTTACTATGGCGTCAGTCCGGAAGTCAGTTCAGTCCAAACCTTGCTACACGAACCATGGTGTTGGTGAAACTGGAAGTGAACTGCCAGACGTGCACTCAGATTCCGACGAAACGTTTTTTGTGCCTCGTTCGTCTCGGAGACAGGTTTTTCAATCCAAATCCTGTATCCATACAGAAAGCGCTGTTGCTCCCGTCACGCGGCCAGTGAGCATGGTACTCATCTCCACCACGTCACGCTACCATGCTGAAGAGTTCTGTGATATAAATC